CAACTATATATATATAGTTGCCAAAGGTTGACGAGATCTACTGAAAATGTATGTTGTGTTGGAACAGAGCTTAAACTTTAAAAATCTAAAACCTTCGCATTGCTTTCTTTACCTTATTGCGTCCCACACATCAAATCCATCCAAAGACTTTGTGTTATTTGTTGATGCACGAGAGATACGAAGTAGAGTAGGGAACCAATCAGAGATGTGAATAAGAGCATCACTTCTTCGTTTTGCTTTCTTCAGTAGTTTGCTGGTAACAAAACCAACACCTCGTATTCCTCCCTCCCACAGGGTACTCTTCCAACCTCTTAGCGGCCAGTTACTTCCAGCGTTTCTCCTAGCACCGTTATCTAAAGATACAATAGTTAATAGTAAGTTTTAAGAATCAACAGATAATTTGGTACTATTGAAATTATAACCGATGATATCATTGGCAATGTAATTTAGGCACCGATATATTATCAAAAACATTTACCTACCAAATAGCATGGATCCACGTTTTTCATTTACAGTTTCGATTAATTATTTGGTCGTTGTCTTCAACATATTTTTTAGTCAGTTGACAGGTTGATGGCATTGACTGGACTCAAGACGAGAAAAAGTCATCTGACTCAAGACAGAAAATTGAGTCATCTGAGTTAAGACGGGCACTCTGAGTCATTGACTCAAAATGGAAACTAGAAACTGACGCATTTGACTTAAGCCAGGTACTTTGATTCATTTGACTGGCACGCGGGTCATGTGACTCAAGACAGAAACTCTTAGTCATTTGACCCAAGAGGCATATTTAGAGTCTTGGAATCTCTAAGTTGTCTGACTCAAGTCGGATATTTTCAGTTATTTGACTCAAGACGGAGATACATTTTACATTTGACAAAAACCTAAAAAGGAGATTCATTTGACAAAAACCTGGAAAAGATTATCTTGGTATATTAATACGTGTGTACCTCTTGAAAAAAACTCGAGATTAAACTAAACAACCGTTTGACGATCGTCGTGGCTTTTAGTATGTAGGTAGCGTAAGTGATGCTTGACATAATTAAATCACAATTATGCAAATCAGGATCTAATTTTCATAATTAAAGAGGGAATTCTATAAATCTGCTGTATTTGATATTAGGGCTATAAACACTTGTGACAAATGTAATTGAATACGGCAAGATAATTGGCGGATATTGATTATGTAAATGAAGACCTAATTTGCATAGATAATGGGTTATTGGTACAATTTCACGTTCACGTTCACAATTGGTAACTGCTGCGAATGTAATACTTGCCATAATTGGAAGTTCAATGAAGGTGAACATCACTTAACATAATTTATTCAAATCAACCCATTTGCATAATTTATGAGGAACGCTAGAATAGCCTTATTTCTTTAAGATAGCCCTGTCATTGGGTGGAGAATATGATGAACTGATATATGGAAATCACCCCTTATAATTTACATATTCGCAGTGAAAAATGTACATAATTCGTCAGTTTGGACTGCCAACATGATTTGGCAAAGGTATGTCAGAGGCCGTGCTTGTATACAACCAACAACATCATAAGTTGTCCATGCTAAAAAATAACGGTTTTGCTAGGTAGAGGCTATGTGAAAAATGTGTTTAGAAAATTTTCTAATGAGCAGGATTGTAAATGTAGGCCAAATACAGGTGGTCATCACCATGCATAAGATTTACAAAAGCACTAAATATGTCAAGGAGGTATGAGATTGCCGAACTCTAGTTTTAATAATCAATTTGGTCTAGACTACAACAAGGCTGAGGCAATAAAAATCATTGCCAAGGCGACGACTGAATGATATATATTATTTCATGTGGTGGAGCTAGCAATCTACATTACAATTATCAGAAAAACATATTTCCCTATGTTATAAAGACATGCACGTAGTGAAATTTACAGGCTGGGTGGAGGAGGTGTGGGGCAATACACCAAATACACGTATATGAGGAATCAGCCGTTCTTCCCCAGCAATATAGATTTTATGATGACATACTTACTTTACTTTGGTCGAGTTCCCGCTAGAACCAAACTGAAAACCATCCTCCACTTCACTCTATCCTCCACCAGAGACTGGATTTTATGTCTGGTCTGAAGTTGTTACTCCTTTGACTTTTTTTACCTTTTGTGGGTTCCAAAAGGACGGATAATTTCTTTTCTCTCTGTGACCTGTTTGAATATGGTCTTTGGCCAAAGACAGCTGTGCTCTCTGTCCATCGTGTGGGGAGAAGACTGATGACCAGTAATTAATCATGCCAGGCATCTGGATGGGTGGCACGTGGGCACCCCGTGTAAGTTACCTGCTTGATCCAAAAACCACATGGTGGAAGGTTTCCTCCAAACCAATTCCCTGGGGAACGCGTTCATGCAATTTTTGAAATTCTTTCAAAGCGATCGTAGTACTTACACAAATGCCTCCGCCCCAAAGGCGTCGCCAAAAAATCGCTGTACTTTTTACTGTACGGAACACCCTGAAAAGGGTTTGCCACAGATTTACAGACGCACCATCACCCGTGTTAGGCCCCCCTATGTACTAGTATTTGATTTTTGACTGTTACTGAAAAAAAAACTGTTGCAAGAAATTCTGCTTACTGTATTATGATCAAAGTGTCACGACAGTGTCGCAAAATACAATATGATGTGATGAAAGGGAAGATTAAGAACAGGGTGACTACTACTGTTTAGAGGAGATTTATTTCTGTTTTTATGACAAATACAAGACTTGTTTATTGTTACACTATGTTATTTTATTCAATTTGTGTGCTAACATTTGTATTTCTACAGTCAGTATTTTCGAAATTTTGACAACTTGTTTTTTGGCCCTTCATGTATTTCATCCTTGCATTGATTTTAAGGTCTCCAATGGACGCCATCCATAAAAATTACTTGGTTTGGCCTTAGGTAATGACCTTACGCATGGCCAATATTTCCTCCAGGCCCTCAATTTAAGCAACTGATTCCATATGGGGTTCCCAGCTGTCCCAGCTGTTTAATCCAAGCAGAGGTTGGTGAGGCAGGATCGTTAAAGTTTTAACACAAAGGATCCACTGCAGCGACGTAGGGACCATCCACGAGGCCCGTTTTCGAACTTGACCTTGGCCTCTATGACATTAACCTGCCTACCAAAATCCTGAACATTCATTTAAATATACTCGAGTTATTTTGCTCACAAACACAAAAGGTCCACTGCAGTGACTTAGGACCCCCCACGAAGCCAAAACTTGCACTTGACATCGGCCTCAACAACGGCAATCTGTTTGCTAATATCATGGACGTCGAATCATGCCTCTAAGAGTTTTTTCGCTAAATCCGCAGTCACCCACAATGCGGCGAGACAATTCCATTCTCTTTTTGACGAAGACAATTAATAAAGCATATCTAAATTTAGAATCTGATTGGCACGATTTATGAGGAAATCCTGGAATAACCTTCTTTTTTAAGATAGGACAGTCACTGATTGTTGAATATGATCAACTTATGTCATGATTGCAAATATGTTTTTTATATCTATATAACCCAAAAGAGACATTTATATGGGTTGGTTACACAATATAAGTAGAGAAAACTAAAGTTTACAATAATGCCATAAAATAACGAGCTTTCCGAAATTTGCATTTTAAGAAAAAGAACTACATACCAGATATTATCTTTCAGCTGTCTTTCAAGGTATGCAGCCGAGAATTGCCCTTTTTTACCTGTAGAAAAGATGAGAACTGTATCGTTCCACAATCCCGTCTTTCTCAAGGCGTCAGTAACATTCCCCACTGCCTCATCCATCGCTGTCACCATGGCGGCATATGTCCTGACAAGGGTATTCTTTACGTTTTTGTACATGTCAATGTACTCTCGGGGTGCTTCGAGAGGTGAATGGACAGCTTGAAATGGCAGGTAGAGAAACATCGGCTGAGGGGAAATGAAGTAAAACTTTTTCTAAACATATTCCTCCAATGTAAATTTTCAGAACGAAAGCTAGTGTTTATGTGGAACAGATTATCTCAACATCGATATTGTTATCAATAAAGTTGAATTTACTTAACCCTATTTAGACTGTGCTACCCAGCAGTGTCTATAATAGAGATATTAGGGTAAAAAATACATATAGAAATGATGTCATAATCAGGTCAATGGCCCTGCCTATTTTGACCTGCAGTGCCGTGGTTACTTTTGCATTAGTCTCGTGTACTTTCGTCAAAAATATAAAATACAACCATGTATAAGATACATTATCAAAGTGTTTGAAACAAGGTCAACTAAATGAATAGCAAAGTTCTTTGATCAACCAGTTATTTGTCACGAGCCGACGTTTCGATGACCGCCTGTCATCTTTATCAAGGCAATTCTGACTGGTTTACTGTCCAAGCCAGTTACAACCAATGGTTACCTCAACAAAAGGGTAAGGTCAGTGGGAGGGTTACCAGACAAAGTCACAAATACGACCCATTGCCAGCACGTACTAAACGCTACCAAAATAGCCCTCTACCGTATATTGTAAACCTGTTAAACAATGGCATTTAGATAATTGTGGCGTAGATTATTAATTTGTATCTTTGATAATTAGTTGGTAGCTTTTAAATATGTGATTGTATCTTTTTATATATGCACTTCGTCTTTTAAATATGTATTCCATCTTTTAAATATGTACATGTATTGTCACCTGTTTCGCTGTTTGCAAACGTTTAGATCGGTCGTATATGTCAACTTGAAATTGGTACATGTACATGAACTCGCAATTCAGCTAATAAGCTGCGATGAGTTTGTATCGCATAATAAACCATTCTATATATATACTGTGCACTGACGCTAGATGTTACTTGGTGCATAGTGAACTAAAGGTGTTACATAATTTACAGTGCACTCATCAGTCGTAGCGATGGGAAGATGACAGACTCGAGACGGAATAATTTACAGTGCACTGTTACTCGGTTCACAGTGCACTTCAGTTAGTTAATTGCCCTTATAAAGATGACAAACGGTCTTCGAAACGTCGGCTCGTGACAAATAAATGGTTGTGATCAAAGAACTTTACTATCCATTCGTTTACCAACCTGATGAAATTATTTACGGAAGATCAACTCATATTTAAATGTTTAACTGACTCAAAAACAACACGCGTACACTTTGCACAAAATGACTACAATGGTTGATTTTTGTATCTAAATACTAGCACCATAAGTTTGTAACATAATGTCTAATACTTTGCCTATTTTAATAAAAGGCTTATGCTTTCAACGTTTTAGTGTATGTTAAAAGCTTCATCATGATATAATCCGGATAATCAGATTTTATGCCATTTTCTTTTCTTTTAATGCCCTTAGCCCTATTTGATAACCGCATGCAATATGTCGACATCATATCTAGTAAATACGTTTATACCTTGTTCTGCGGATGATTCCGTATGACTTCGATAGCTTTTGAAGCAAACAGGTTGGTAGAATAGGTTCCATTTTGATCAAGGACAGGTTTGTCTTGGTCTCGTAAGTCAAGCCCGTGAAATGCGTTTGGATCCTTTGCAAAAAGGTTCGGCCTCCGATGTGTCCAGTAGTCCTCACCTCCGGTCAGGTAACCTTGATGTAAAAAATACACAAGTCTAAGGCTTACTTTCTGTGAGCAAATCAAATCATTTGAATATAAGAATGTGTTTTCCTTAAATATACAGCTCCAACACGTGTTATTACTTTGTTAAGGTTAGATACTGTTTTGGTCTTTATGATGTTTGTATATGTTAGAACGATTTCTGTAACGGGACTGAAAGAGAAGGGGCTGCACGAGCTAGCTCCATGGAGGAGCTCTGCAGAGCTCCTCCATGGAGGTTGCTCGTTCAGCCCTCAGCTCTGCAGAGCTCCTCCATGGAGGTTGCTCGTACAGCCTTCGCGATACCCCCGCAGAGCTCTGCGCCAAAACAAGCCAATTCGTTGGTTGGCGTCACGGGTTCAGTTTTCTATAGAGCTCCGTATATATCAAGTCAATTCAATGTGAGTAGTAGGCGATATACAGCCAGTACTGTGTCACAAATAAAGACTTCGTCACGCAACTCTGCCTAACACGGAGAGCTCTGCGCCCTAACAGGTCAATTCGTTGGTTGGCGTCACGGTTCAGTTTTGTATAGAGCTCTGTAGATATCAAGTCAATTCAATGTGAGTAGTAGGCGATACAGCCAGTACTGTGTCACAAATAAAAACTTCGTCACGCAACTCTGCGCAACACGGAGAGCTCTGCGCCCTAACAAGTCAATTCTTTGGTTGGCGTCACGGGTTCAGTTTTGTATAGAGCTCTGTAGATATCAAGTTAATTCAATGTGAGTAGTAGGCGATACAGCCAGTATCAGTTTTCTATAGAGCTCTGTAGATATCAAGTTAATTCAATGTGAGTAGTAGGCGATATACAGCCAGTACTGTGTCACAAATAAAGACTTCGTCACGCAACTACTGCGCAACACGGAGAGCTCTGCGCCCTAACAAGTCAATTCTTTGGTTGGCGTCACGGGTTCAGTTTTGTATAGAGCTCTGTAGATATCAAGTTAATTCAATGTGAGTAGTAGGCGATACAGCCAGTACTGTGTCACAAATAAAGACTTCGTCACGCAACTCTGCGCAACACGGAGAGCTCTGCGCCCTAACAAGTCAATTCGTTGGTTGGCGTCACGGTTCAGTTTTGTATAGAGCTCTGTAGATATCAAGTCAATTCAATGTGAGTAGTAGGCGATACAGCCAGTACTGTGTCACAAATAAAGACTTCGTCACGCAACTCTGCGCAACACGGAGAGCTCTGCGCCCTAACAAGTCAATTCGTTGGTTGGCGTCATGGTTCAGTTTTGCTTTCACCTCTTTGCGCATCGCGGCGCTCAAAACAGGTAAATTCGCCTAACCACTAGTCATTTGGGACTCTATATACAGGCTGATATGCAGAACTGTCTGTGCGTCTAGACGACACAACATGAGATCAGGATGGCACTTTCCTCTTTTGAAATCTTGGTCATGATGAATCGCTCATTGAAGTTTTTGCACTCTTTTGTCTTTTGGATTATGGCACGTTCACACCTAGTTCACAACTGTGCATGGCTTGTTTCGTGCGCGGGTGGCCGTCTCGATTAGGACGGATGTTGGTTGTAAAATACAGGACAATAGGTGGCACACTGCTTGACCGATCACACTACAAAATTCTGTGGAAAAAGCATGTTTGTTTTGTATGGAGAAACGATGTTGTCTCTCCGAATAGTGTTCTTGTTTTCTAAAGAGTTATAGGTCAACTTACTATGTAAAGAAATGACTGTAACAACGTACTTTCTGTAGTGCCCTAAACTTATATATTAAAATGGGCCTGATTTGCGGTTGTAAATCTTGCCAGAGAGGTGTGGAAAGAAAATGTTTGGTTGTAGAAAACAGACCTTAAACCAAAACCAACTACTCATAGGTTTTTGGAATTCATCAACTTAAATAGCTGAGATCTATAGCCCGGTTTGATGTTAACTACGAGAAAAAAACAACAACAAAAAACACCACTCCGCCATGCCACCGATGGCAGCGGTTATAGATGGGCTATACCACTATAAATGTATGGGTACATCACTTTTTTTATACGAATATATTTGTGTCGACACATGTGCCCCCAGCCATCGTACAATTATTTTTTAAAAGATGCGCATGCGTGTGTGTGTGTGCTTGTGTGTGTGTGTGCGTGTGTGTGTGTGTGTGTGTGTGTTTGTGTTTACTAGTTTGTGTTAAAAAGAGGCCCCCTAATAGAATGGACCCTGCCTGTGAAAAAGTTTGGCGTCAGTTTACAGCCGTTCTCCGTGTTGTCCGCGTGGCCGTTAGTTTTATATCCAAAACCTACTTCTTATCCGCAATAACCTCGTCCATAATCCTAGTGAATCATTTTGCAATCGTTATGTAATCGCGAACAGTTTCCCCGAAATGGCCGTGTCTAGGCACATTTCGTTTTTGAAAGATGGAAACTTGTTTTTGAGCACCAGTGATTTTTTTTAAACAACCCAAGTCAAAAACGACAATATTCCCAGAAGGGTTTGACCGTAAATTAGGACTGAAAAAAAGTAGAACCTCCTTGGTGGAACAAAATGTATATAGACGTAAAAATGCACCCAACTCAAATTATGATATGCTACCAATAAGAAACATGGAAATCAAAAAGATGAAGAAACATTGTGACGCCAACCAACGAATTGACTTGTTAGGGCGCAGAGCTCTCCGTGTTGCGCAGAGTTGCGTGACGAAGTCTTTATTTGACACAGAACTGGCTGTATATCGCCTACTACTCACATTGAATTCACTTGATATCTACAGAGCTCTATACAAAACTGAACCCGTGACGCCAACCATCAGCATCAACTTGATTTGTACTTATAGCTTTATTCACAAGGGTCTAGCCAAAAATAAGCGGTGACGCCAACCAACGAATTGGCTTATAAGGGCGCAGAGCTATTGACTTCAAGCTTGAAGAGGTGAAAGCAAAACTGAACCGTGACGCCAACCAACGAATTGACTTGTTAGGGCGCAGAGCTCTCCGTGTTGCGCAGAGTTGCGTGACAAAGTCTTTATTTGTGACACAGTACTGGCTGTATCGCCTACTACTCACATTGAATTAACTTGATATCTACAGAGCTCTATACAAAACTGAACCGTGACGCCAACCAAAGAATTGACTTGCTAGGGCGCAGAGCTCTCCGTGTTGCGCAGAGTTGCGTGACGAAGTCTTTATTTGTGACACAGTACTGGCTGTATCGCCTACTACTCACATTGAATTGACTTGATATCTACAGAGCTCTATAGAAAACTGAAGCGTGACGCCAACCAACGAATTGGCTTGTTTTGGCGCAGAGCTCTACGGGGGTATCGCGGAGGGCTGCACGAGCAACCTCCATGGAGGAGCTCTGCAGAGCTCCTCCATGGAGGTTGCTCGTGCAGCCCCTATTGGACTGAAAGCAACAAGAATGCATTGACGTTGGATTTATCGATTTAATAGTCTTAGATCACTGTTTTCAGGAAGCGCCGAGGATTGCCATGTATGGATCCATAATCGCGCGGCTTTGCAAAAAAAATCATAAAAGTCATCGAACTCTCCATTACTAGTTGAAACCCTCTTTAAAAAATAAGGGATAACTATGCATGAAAATATTGTCATTTTTATTAGGAACAAGTCAAACAAGAGTTCCGAGATTTCATACCTCCATGAAATATGGGCTTGCTTTGTCCTCATTAATTATGCAAATAACCTCTACATTAACATAATATATGTATAGCGATACAAACCTTTAAGTAACTTACACATGTTACGAGGTATAAAATTCCCATCATTCTCCAATAAGGATTCACAGAGTTTTCACATTAATTATGCAAATTAGATCATCATTTGCATAATTGGTATCTGTTGATGTTCCGCCTGCCACAGATTAAACAGATTACATGTATAGCAGTACTATCATATGAAACACTGTAACTATAAAATTTCCTCATTAATTATGCAAATTAAGTCCTCATTTGCATAATTTGCATATAATCATGTACAACTGTCTCTCAGGTACCTACACACCAAAAATGATGAAAATACGTTGTTCCAATCTGGACTTATTGGCTTTGAAAGTTTTTACCAGAAACTAACCTGCAGTTCTAGAACAAGCTGCTAGGGGACCAAACTTACGCCACTTATTCGTGACAAAATAAGCTATCTGTCACCAAAAAGTGAAGACCATAGCATGTTCAGGACAAAAGATACAAAAACCGGAAGTTCTGCTGCAGTACCAAGGTCATTCACCAGGAGGCCCATACTTGACCTTGACCTTTGTCTTTTCAAGACTTATCATTATACCAAATATCATCACAATCCATAAAGGCGTTCTGAAGTTATGCTGACTACAAAGATGCGGAAACACACACAGACAGACAGACACACACAGAGACATACAGACAGACACGCCAAAAACAATACGTCGCAACACGTCGCTATGATTGTCAGCAGGATTAGTAGTAGACTGTGTATGCTAAGAACTCTTTGTAAACAAGGACTGGATTCTTATGATCTTGTTTACATTGGTTTTGTTCGCCCTGTGTTAGAATATGCTTGCCAAGTATAGCACTCCGGTCTAACTTGTAGAATCAGAGTCTATTGAGAGGGTCCAGAAAAGGGCATGCAAGATAATCATGGGTCGGTCTTACACTAGCTATAGCTCAGCTCTACAAGAACTCTCACTGACATCGCTAGCTCAACGCCGACTAGAACTCTGCCAAAATTTCGCACAGTCCGTGCTGATGCACTCAACATTCAGGAACTGGCTTCCTCCCTCTAGAGGTGACATCTCTGACAGACACACCAGACAGAGACACCTACTGTCCACCCTCAGAACAAGAACAAAACGTTTTCAGAACTGCCCGATTGTTTATATGACCCACCTTTTAAACAAGCATTAACAGTGTTAGCCAACAGTACGTATGGTCATGGAACGCTGAGACTTGTATATTTCCGATTTGTATATATAATGAAGGTTTTAAAATCACTCTCCTTATTACTTTTAATGTGGTCAAGTATGTACTTTTAAGCGTATTTTTAAATATGTCATTGTTGTAAAACACGGAATTCATCCTGTGGCTACCATGTGTTTTTGAGGAATAAACCTTTCATTTTAATACCTCCATTTTTCATGGAGGTAAAAAATGGAGGTAAAAATGCAAGTGAAAATCATGGTAAGAATTTGACCTATTGGTCTAATATAATTTATAATATCATATATCTTTAGCTTCCCTGGAGACCCTTTGTAACCTCTTTAGACCAAATGCGTTTTGATTCTCCTGGAAGAGGTTTCGATGATCGCGTATTGCTTTCAATTTGCTTTTTCTCCCTTTCTCTCTCTTTCTCTGTAGGTGTGTGTCTGTGTGTGTTTCACGCATTTAAAGCATCATAACTTCAGAACGTTTATATGTATCGTGATGATATTTGCATGTTGGTAGGTTGTAAAAAGACAAGGTCAAAGATAAACCTTCTTTGGAATGACCTTGGTACTGGAGCAGAGAATTGTCTATTTTTTTTAATATTTTGTCCTTAACATACTATGGTGTTGACTTTTGGGTAGCACAGACAGAGAGGAACATAGTTCTATGCATCTTATGCATACAAAGACTTAATTCTATTCAGACGGGTGTTTTTTTTGGGGGGGGGCGCCCGCATAGAAATGCATGCAATGGGTTAATTTGGAGGTTATTTGCATAATTGGTGTTAAAGCTTGACACCTTGACAAAAGATGGATATAGTTTGAGTACAACAAACCTTATATAGAATATGCCAAGGATATGATCAATGTGAAAAATCCAAAGACAAAGAAAAATTACAAAGGCTATTATAACAATGTTAATCCTTGTGCACATGATTGCATTCAAGGTATTTTTACATCCTCAACCTTCTTTGAATTTATTGCACCAGTTGCGGGCAAATGTGAATAGCGTATTGTACTGTTTTACCTAAACTTTAAATTATATTAAGTTAATTCCATACCGTAAAACCTTTCAAATCCCCTGCGCAGTGGCATGTATTCCTTTCTGTAGAATCCAAGGTGCCATTTGCCCACGATATAAGTGCTGTACCCATTTTCCTTTAGCTTCTGGGGTAGGGTAATTTCATCTAAAGGCAGACCATGGGGGCGGTCGCTAGTAATTACACTATGTTGCATCCCGTAGTGAATCTGCAACAAAGAACATCTCTTTTAATTGACTTTGAATGTTAAAGGTTGATTTCCAAAAGGAATACAAAATACCAACGCTAAACTTTTTTTCAAATACAAGAAAAGCCAACATTTAGTCACGAAATATAGCATATTTCATGTCATCTCCATTCCCATCCAAATTGGACTAATTCAAATATCCCCCGGTACAAACGTGTGATATTTCATAATTATTTCTGCCAAAGGTGTAGGGTCGGTTTGCGCAACGGTAGAGCCAACAAACCCGCCTAAATGGGCTAGGGGAATCCCGAAGCAGCCTTTGTAACTCCTGCTTCTCCTTTTGGGCTACTTAGTCCTGAAGGGAGCATTTGAGCTGGTCTTAATCGCGACGTTTCTGACGTAGGGGGAAGAGATACTGTTACAGCCCTTATTGCTGTAATCCTTAATGTTACAGTGGCCTTTAAGCCTTGTCATGGTGTAACCTTCCTTGGCAGTTCAGCTCATTGTGGACTATCTGGGTCGCGATCCTGGTGACCTCTAATGTGGCTTAAAAGTCCGGCCTTGCTTTTGCAGAATCTGTTGTATACTCTGCATGTGTACTGTGTAGTTAAATATGAAGTTTGTGCTGCAGACTTTTCCAGTCTCCGTTTCTCTGCTGCAGCTTCTCTTCTTCTCTTGTCTGCATCTGCAACACCTCTGCGCAACTCTGCACAACTCTGCACCAGGCAGCTCTGTCCTCAGCCTGCGCTTCCCAGGTGTCTGTTGAGATGCCACATGACTTCATGTCCCTCTTGCAAATGTCCTTGTAACGCAATGCTTGACGGCCAACTCCTCTGGATCCAGAGGTTAGTTGTCCATACAGAACATCCTTCTGAATCCGTCCGTCCTCCATACGCCTGACATGCCCTAGCCAGCGGAGGTGGCGTAGATGCTCTGTATCTTTGCTTTTTTTCAAGATCACACTGTTGGGAATTCTGTCCTTCCAGCTGAGTCCAAGGATGCGCCGGAGACATCGCATGTAAAATGCGTTCAGACGACGTTTCTGACGTACATATGTGCTCCACGTCAGGAATTTTGTTATTTACTCATGATGTAACCAATAAGTAAATAAAAAGGTAAATGATTGTCAAATTAATCTAGTCTAAACGGAACCTGCCCCAATGGTCCGGTCAAAAAAAAGCAGACAAAATATCTTTAAATCATTAAAACTGTCTAGAATTGAATTGAAAATGTCATTCATCCCATTTAATGCGACGGAAAATTTCAAAAAGATACATCTACAAATAAAACCTACCTGATACCTGCCTGTCATGAGCTGGCACCTTGACGGGCTACATATGGGCTGCACATAGTAATTCTCTAACGTAACTCCCTCTGATGCCAGGCTATCAAAAACAAACAAAATCAAATACAATAACGTACAAACACTAAACCAACGGACAGAGAATAACAATAAAAGACCGAAAATAGTTTTTTAAACCCCCTAAGGTCCTGTCTGATTGTAGAATTAGGAGTAATAATAGATTATGTTTGGGAGACCTTATACTATCTTATCATTAAGCATTAATTAGTTTGTAAGATTTTTTTAAAATTTATTGCTTGACTCCAATTACATATATTCTATATGTAAAAGTGCCATTGTTTTGGTTGTAGGTTTTATTTAATCATTAATTATGAAAATGACCTCCACATCGATATTATAAATCCATGGCAAACGTTAATCTATCATCAACTTGAATATGTAACACGTATCTCTTTTGAAGGGATAATGACCACAGTTTATTGATGCCCAACAAGATACACTACGTTCACAATTATATTTCACCTCATGTGAAAGATATTTGAGTGTTTCCAAAGAAGCTAATCTTGTGACATGTACCCTTGTCTATCTAGCCTGGCATGCCCAAACCTAGGGGGGCAATTAGTCAACATATGGGGCCAACCAATGTATGTTGTTGTTGTTGCTTTTGTCCCAAGGCCGAACCTGTGGCATCGGGAACTGTACAATACACAAAATATATGTCAGAAAATGTGAAATAACGACGCAAACGTGTTAAAAAGTAATAGTAACTGCTGACTACTCAAAAATTTAGTATAATTTGCCCACTCTACCTGTCAAGGTTTGGAGTTTGTATGAATGACCCATGATAACCAATGTCATTCCAGCCGTAGTCGTCCGCCAGAATAAAAACAATGTTGGGTTTTTTACTGGGCATCCCTCCATCTGCTTCAATCCTGATATTCAAAATCAATCAATAATACAATTATTATAGTAAAGAGAAAAGGATTTTGGATTTATTAAATGTCATAATAACCATCATTTCGAAGACATTACATTATTTGATAATATATGCAATAAAGTACACAATAGAAAAATTCCAAAACGGTTTTATGTAATAAAAGGTATTTACCTCAGCTGCAATCCATGCCAGGAATGATTGCTAGTAGATATAATATCAAACCACAAAAACACAAACAGCACAGATGCAAAAAACAAAAGGACCCAAGTTAGACGATGATACAAAAACCGTCGTAATGAACGACCATACTGAAAAAATATTACTGCTTCCATCAAAAGTCTACTACAAAAGTTACTTTTAGATATTCTGAAGATATTGTATATAGTTTTAAATGAATCTGCCGAATCGATGTTCTGAAGAAATGTACCTGCAGTAGTCTTTAAAACTGTACAAGTAACATTGGGAACACGTTCAACTGGTAATTATTACACCGCGCATGCGCAATGGTCTTTATGAATCATACATTGTCACCGCGTCTCGTGACGCATGAGACAGTCAATGTAGTCCAGCTTGCTCTATCAGCAGTCAGTAAATCTAGAATGCGGTGATCTAAGTACGACGTGAAATCTTTTACAAAAGGTAAGTGCTGAAAGCATTTCTCTAATAGTTTAACAGTTCAGTATCTGCAATAAACGCAGTGGAGGTAAAGGTGACCGCCGATGCCCGCCGCAGTAGAAAATAGCATGGCCTCGGCATCTTTGTTTGCTGTTGTTGTTGCAAAATTTTTTTCATCAATTATTTACATCCTTGCTAATGTGTAGAAATTAAACTCTGCTTATGAATTAACACTATCTAGAGTAGAGGCACGCGAAGTTTACGCGCCAACTATCACGCCGGATAATGTATGAATAACTAGTGCTAAAACCAACACAATTGGTAAACGTTTGATATATATCATAACCTTTAGCGACACACAGTATAATATCCCTAAGACAAGAATTTGCGGAAACCGTTGCTCTTCTGAACGATCCCTCAAAGAGAACATCTGAGCGATTTCCCGAGCTGTCTGTGCAAGAGTGACCGAGAGAACAACACTGACTGACCTACGATGACATCACAATGCACAAGTGATGACCAGCAGTTGATATATATGTTTTATTTTATAAAAAATGACTTTGCTGTGGTGAATGTAGCTGTAGCTCAATGCCAACAAAATATTATGTAGTGTCTAAAGTGCTTACTTAAGTTGAATATAGACACTTTAAAATAGACATTTTTTATACCTACTAACGTTTTTAGCCTACTATTTCTTTTAATATTTTACAACAATGAGTTATAAAAACAAATAAAAAGGAAATTACACATAAATTGCAATGAAAAAAATCCAGACTTTCAGTCAACTTAAGAGTTAAAAGGGGACGTCACAAACTGAGCAAATTAATGCTATCAATGTTGCGATTTATTGCTGTCAAATTAATTTTTAAAAGTTACTACCAACTTTGGTGTCCCTACTTTAGGCCGTTTAGATATTTTTTGTCATGTATTGAGACGCTGGAACAGGTGTCAATCTTCCTGTACCTTGGTGCCATTATTGACGAGGCAGCTGGTCAGTGCACCTGGGAGCCGCGAGGGCAGCCCTTAGCTCCCTGGACGTCATCTGGAAGGACAGAGTCCTAAAGGTGTCCGCTAAGACGAGCATGTTGAGAGCACTGATGTGGCCCGTGGTGACGTATGACTGCGAAGCATGAACACTTTATGCGAAAGACACACAGAAGATCGAGGCCTTCTAGATGAAGTGTTACAGGAAGCTGCTCAGAGTTAGATGGACAGAACACCGTGCGAACACCTCAGTACTGGAAGAGTTAGGGATTGGAAAGTCACTCCTACACATGATCGGAAGGAGGGAACTACAGTCCTTCAGACATGTGTCGAGAGCACAGAATATCTCAACCCACATCCTGCAAGGACGGATCTGTGGCAGTAGGAGTGGAGGGAGGCCGCGTAGGAGATGGGTAGATGACATCAGAGACTGGACAGGCAGGTCCCTGGCTGACTGCACACATATGGCCAAGGACAGAGAAGGATGGAGGAAGCTTTTGCTGCACGCTACCACAGTCCCCGATCCTCGAATGTGAAGGTGGAATGAAACGCAGGCCTTGAACGTCTATAAGGCCTTCACAGTTTACTCAAAACGATTTAGCTAGCATAAATGTTACCTCAGCCGAGTATGCACTTTGTACTCTGGCTATCTTTCCCGGCTCCTTTTTAGTCACCTAGGCTATCTACTTTTTTCTGGACTCGGGTAAGACAATTTTGTATTGGTTGCACTGTAAGACTGAGTGTACAGCATATAAAAGCAACTACAAACCTTAGTGTAACGTCTGGACACATATGTCCTTTATGCAGCCCTAAACCGTGCCGTCTGTTGGGATGAACCTTAAAACAAAATAATTTAGGCTTACAAATTGCAATTCCAATTCTTTGCATCTAGAATAATAGCTGCTGAATTAGTATGGATGCATGTTTCTAAGTGTAATCAGTTATCATGTTTTGACGTGTTTTGACAAGTCGATTTAAGGCACAGATAAAACCTTAAGTTCATAAACTTTAAGGTAATTAATTAGAAATGAATTTTATCTCAACATGTTCTTTTGTCGTAACATGAACATAAATTGAGTACATTGTTTAGCCGTGATTAGTTGTACACGTTATTTGCAATTGCATAATTGCGGTGGATTGCCATGTTTAACAGTTATATGACCTTGAATATGAAGCATATGCAACATACTAAGAAGTTTTGCTTTGTATTTATTTCAGGCGAGCTTTAAGGGACTGATCATGAAATGGCTTACTTTCACCCGAATACTTCTTGTAGCGCTACTTCTTTTGGTGGTACTGTGCCTAAACTTGGAAAAAGACATTTTCAAAGCTACACTTTACATCAGAAATAGGACCCGGATTTACGGTTTGTTAGGTAAGCCAAAGTGGTAATAAGTAACCTATTTTAATGGAGGGACCATTGTTAAACCATACAAAGAAAGAAACAATGACAATAATGTATAGGGTAAAACCATCGCAGTAAGATATAATGATTGTTTTTTTTCTAATTAACGTTGTTCAGCGATTTCATTTTTAATAATAAAGTTGTCCGTTCTCTTGTAAGATTGTGATTTTTTCATACATTCACGGCATCAATTCTTTTGTTTCTGAAAGGCCACGATTTTCACAGTAAAACTTTGTATTAAACACACGTTTTGTTAAAGTTTGTTAGAATGTATTTTTTTTAAATCTCCTATCTAGACAATCTTAGAAAAAAAAACATAAATAGCGCAATAATAACGTCTAAAAGTTGCTAGATAATGACGTGTGCAAAAGGATGTGCCAATATTCCGTAATTTGCACCCTTTATACCTAAAGCCATTTGACTACCAATTCAGTATTTGTTAACAGGGTTTGAAAAGATAAAGATTGGAAACGAAAAGTTTAGTTATGTATCCTAAAAAAATGAAAACAGTTGTTAAGCGCCGATAATATTGTAAATTTAATTATTCAATGTTTTAGACCAAAAACGCACTGCAGAAAGGACACAGTCTGAGAGAATCGCAACCTTGAAAAGTTACTGCAGGACGAATGACACCAAAATCACGGTAAATCATTTATATATCAGCAACATATTAAACTAGAATTAATTAACACATGCCTTCGCCATGTCAAGAAGAGGTAGTTCACTAAATAAAGACGCTCTTAAATTTTACACAACCAAGAGTTTTTTTAACGCCCGCTATTAATAAAACCCTTGTTTCTGAAAAGACTCTTTATTGACGAGCTTTACCGCCTCTGGCGGGACCACGTCGGCATTCGGCCGAGATACGCTGGGAGGGGGGCACCAGCTAGCAGGTCGTTGACCTCTGACAATAATGACACGCTACCTAGCGTGTTTTCATCAAACAACAATAAATGTAGTTTCGGAGAATCGTGATTGGGCACGTTTTAAAAGGAATGTGTGGCACGTGGACCAGATGTGAGGAATGTGAATTACCCAAATCGCGGTTTGAATGACTTCACATAAACACGGCCCAAGTCACGTAGTAGGCGCCTTAGAAACCAGACTGTCCGTAAGATCTTATATGAGTAATGTATTGTTCGTTAAAATGAGTGGGTCGGAGAGTATCGTATGTTAATATGCAGGCAAGATAATCGATAGCAACATTTAGGGACTGTCATTATTAATTAACTTATTGTACCACAAATAAGATTTGTAATTTGCATCCTCGAAATTTGCTGCATTGACTAAGTACGTATTAGTTGAGTTGGTTCAAAAGCTTCACTTCTTAGGGTAGGTTAATGCATATAAAACTTATAGAATTATCAATATATATACTAGTTTATGGATTAACAAAAAAAGTTTACGTTGCATCACATTAATTAGGTTTTTCTCTTTTCTATTTCTTCCACAGAAATTTCCAACGCGAAGGCGATTCATTGTTAATGAAAGATATAAACTTATATATTGCCAAGTATTTAAAACTGGAAGCACAACTACGTTAACCATTTTACATAACCTTGAACACAACGACAGAAGAAATACACACGACATGAGAGAACAACTCAATGACTTGCCATTCAAGCGGCTCAATACCTATTCTGATGAGGAAGTACGTTTTCGATTTGAGACGTACACCAAGCTTATTATTGTCCGCAATCCGTTAGAAAGGTAGGTAAATAGTAAATAATCGATTTGTCTGTACTTAACGTAAATCTTTTTGCATTTGTCAGGAGGGTATTTTTGTCGGTTTGGGGTTGGTTGAGTGACAGTGGTGTGGGTCTGTACATGTATGTATGGGATAGACGGGGTTAAGACGGATTTTATTGGTATTTGTTGGTATATTCATATATATATATATATATACATACAAATATTTTATATATATATATATATATAATTTCTTACATTCCAGTTAATTGTTACCCACAAAGATGTCAATACAGTGCAGAAAACTCAGTTTTCTAATTTTTTAAAATTCTTATATCTTATTTCCTTTGGGGTCCGCGAAGACCCATGTCGGCTTGCGATCGTAATAGATACACTGGCGTTCTTATACATTACTTTATTTCCGTTTTTATGTTTTTTGCGCTTATCGTATGGCCAGCACATTCTAAGAGAATTGTGTACTGATAGAATTAAATTCTTCCAACGTTGGTGTAATTACTCTGTGTATCTAAGACGCGCTTTCTTTCCACTAGCAAATACCTCATTTTAATATTATAATGGCATTTAAATGAGCAAGGTGCGAGTAGAAGATCGTAAATATGCAATAGGTGTGGTGATAATTGCTGTAGCTTTACCACCCACCGCACCTCCTGCTACTTGTATGTGCTAACTTCACACCCTCTTTACATTTTCAGTGCTCTTGTCCTCCTATATTAGAAGACTTCAAAGCTTGAAACATGCTTAAAAAGAAAGTAAAAATGAAAAACAATTAAAACATTTTCCTGAATACAGAATGTATCCACCAGAATCTCAACTCAAGTCTATATACCTTGGTCTTATAAATTGCCGATGGAGCCAGGGAGATACAGCTAGTACAGGGCATGGATGTTGGTACATGTTTGGAGCGAGACAAGTCAATACACATCAAAAAAATTTCATCTCACTAGGCCGGGGGTTAAGTCTATTTGCAGTTATGTTAGATTTAACTCATTTTCTTCAGATGAATTATAACACATCTAGCTGTCCTCTGCCCAACAGGCAGAGCTGTTGTTCAGGTTCATAGTTGCAATCTATAAAACTACATCTCAAACCCAGAACTTTCTATTCGAGGAGTAAAAAATAAATGTTTAAAAACAAAGACTTTTGTGGTAAAGTGGTATTTGAATGGATACATGCAGCCGTCTGCCCGCTATGCATAATTAAGAATAATTGCCCGTAATGGCATTGAGTGGAGGTGTGAAAACAAATAATTTCATTCACAGTCATGAGGCTTCATAAAGGTTGACAGGTCAAAGAAGGAAATCTACCAGAATTTAGACTTTTAAAGTTTGAAGCCCGAGACCAAACTCTTCCCATGTTTTTACAAATTTGAAATTGGGTGCAAACAATGTGTAATAAGTCGGTTTATATGAATCGGTTTCCAGAAAAACTACTTTATCACCTTATATCAAGCTAATGGCAGATAAAGTCATACCTACCCCTTATAATTCTACCAAAGTGGACTATATTACAAAATATTTTCAAATCTAAGCTATATTCTTCTTTTCTGGAAACCGATTCCTACAAAGTGCATATCTCTCCACCTCCTCTGAAAGTTTTGCATTGCAATTGGTCTAGGCCGATTTTATGGAGTCACAATGGTCTGATACTATTACCAATTATGCAGATTTTCGACCCAAAAGTAATTATTTAGAATCAGTGGTATGTCATCTAAGTTACTTCCAAATTTGAAGTTGATTGGTCCGGCCAAACTGGAGATACATGCGATTTTACAGGTAGCTCTGTATCACCCCCATTTTAGTACAAAGTGCGTTTTAGAAACACGGAGTATGACGTCATATGACATATGATGGCAATTGTCCGCCATTTTTGATTTTGACCAATGACGTCATCAAATTAGCATATATTATGAACATTACATGATTTAACTTATCTTTAATTATGTAAGATGTTATTAATGTAAGAAAGGAAGTGTTATTTAATATAAAACCAAGAAAATTTTTATTTTTAAACCAAAATTACTGATTTAGAAAATGCGTCAGAAACCTGTTTCCATGGCAACACAAAAATCATTTACTTATTTAACTGATATGAAATTTTTTCAAGATACATTTCAGGAAAGGTCACCAAATTTGATGTTCAGGCGCTATATGAGATTAAAGTTGGGGGCCTGAAAAGAGCACAGATGGATAGTTTTTTAATTGTTATTGTACCTTTATTCACGAGTTGCACATTCCCAGGATCCTTTGCACACAGGGTAGGGAAAGGTCGCGGTAAACCACATGACTCATCCTCGGCTCTGGTCGGAAGAAGTCGGAAGTGTTCGCGAGCGCTCGGAAATTTCAAAAATGACTGACACCACTGCCGGCGGCGGGAGGCACGTAGTTTTTCACGGCGTTCGTACGGCAAAGCGGCATCGAATTTTTGCTCCATGACTATCGGTATGGGGTAGGATAGGGTTGATTCAACATACTACGTGAAAATGTGACAAAAAGACAGACTTTTGAAATTGAATGCTCCCAGTCAGATAGCTTAGGGCACCTTCTTCCGACCAGAGCCGAGGATGAGCCACGTGGTTTTCCGCGACCTTTCCCTACCCTGTGCGCTAAGGATCCTGGGAATGTGCAACTCGAGAATCGTTAGGTAACCGATAGTAATATTTTTTGTGTGGTACAACGAACCAACACAACAGCTGTGTGTGCCCCAAGTGTATTGTACTGTTATTGTTTTTTATGCTTTTGTTGTTATTATGTGTACAGCATAACTAGAGAAATTGACCAGAGCGCTATGCACTGGATAGACACAAAAGTCCGAACATAACGATATAATTTCAATTGTTGTTAAAAATGCAGGCTTGTATCAGCATGGGAGGACAAATTCTCCTACGCCCCGTCACGATTCGGATACCGGAAACAGTATCATTCTATGCTTAAAACACTTCTCTCCAAAACGTCAAATACAGAGGTACGTTCCTTTTATCAGCATTTGATTTAACCAACACGAGGTTTACAGATGTTGGTACTTATACATTTCATTGAAAAAATAGTTTTATTCAACATAGTTTATGCGAGTACAAGTTATCTGTTTGCTAAGAACCGGACAGACACGTTTGACGCTAAACGCCGTAAGGTTACCCACTCATTCGTTTCTCGTCTGTTGTCGTCAGAAAATGAGATTATTCATCTCCTAGTGCATTCCGATGCCTTCCGCCACAGTACGTTCTGGCGGAATTATGTGGACTTAGTCTTCTCCAGATAGTTTTAGATTAGATTACATTTTTTTTTAATTTTATGTACCGTGTTTGTTGATATGGGCCATGGGCCTTGTGCAAATAGAAAAAAAAATAATTTTCTGGTTTAATCCTATTCAGACAGGGCTTTTTTGGGCATGCTTTTGAGTCCTGCCCCCTGTAACTAAAAACACACTCAACGTAGGGCCACCAAACTTTCAAGGAAATGGTGTAGCAATAAAATGAATTCATAACAACAACGTTTGTATAATCATGACATCATATGACGTAATTAAGACGTCATTTATATGATTTTTTTTTTGTATAACCTTTAAATAATTTTTTCTTTAAAACTCGGAGGAATACAACCAAACTTAAACAAAAAATGCCTATGAGAGCATATCAATGTCTGTTAAGACTTATATTGTCACTGGCAATAACACTGACGTCAAAATAACGTTATCAAATTATGTGCCCTTTGTGTTTTGTCCTTATATGTTGACTGTCTAATATCAGCTTTGCTGCCTTGAGAGTCTGTGTAATGTCCTGTTGCATTTTCAATAAATAAATAAAATGACGTCATGAATAATTATGTCATGGTCCATCTTGGATCGGAAATCTTGAATTTTGAAAATTTCCATTTTTTAATGATACAGCCTAAAAACGTTACCCAAATGAAATAAAGATATTTATATGGACGTTTGAGGTAAAAAAAACGAGTTGAGACGAAAAATTAGTAAAAAAACATGGTTCCAAGAGCTACTTGAATGGTCCGCTATTTTGATTTTTGACCAAAGACGACATCAAATTAGCATAAATTATGAATGTTTAACCCTAAACAGTACACCTGGGGACCCCAGCACTATATATTCTGTAATATTTTTTTTGTTTCTTAACCCACAAAGTTGTCCCTCAATACAGTGCAAAAAAACTCAGTTTCCCCTATATATTTCTGAAAATTTTTATATCTGATTTTCTTTTGGGGTCCGCGCGGACCCCAGCCGGCTTTCGATCGTAATTAATGCAATGGTGTTCTTATATATTACCGTTTTTATATGTTTTCATGCACTTATCGTATAACCACCAAATTTTCAGAGGATGGTGTACTATTAGAATTAAATGCTAACAACTTTGGTTTAATTGTGACGTCATATGACGTCAGAGACAATGATATGGTCCGTCATCTTTGATTTTGACCAATGACGTCATCAAATTAGCATATATTATGAATATTAAATGATTTAACTTATCTCTAATTATGTAAGATGTTATTACTGTCAGAAAGGAAGTGTTATTTGATATAAAACCCAGAAAATGTTTATGTTTAAACCAAAATTACTGATTTAAAAAAAACTTCCTGTCAGAAACACGTTGCCATGGCAACACAAAATATCATTTACTTATTTAACGAATATTGATATTTTTTGTTTGTTTATTTGTTTATTTAAATTTTTCACAAAGTGAAAGGGAGGGCAAAACAGGTGCGAAGCACCTTTGCTAGTTGCCCTCCCACATACAAAAACAACAAGAATGTACATTACACAGTCAACAATCTATAATACAAGTAGGGCACAAAATATCATATAAACATAATCAAGGTAACAACATTGAATGGAAGAGATAACCATATCGGAACGATATCTAGTGAGGTCTTGAGGCAATACAAGAGCTACATCCACATGAAGTGGTCCAGGTACATGGCAGATCAAGACTGTATTGAGTGTTGAATCTGTTGTAGGCTACTTTTGCCAGTTTATGTTTAAATGCTATGATATCAGACTGATGAGCGGCTCGCACACCAGTACCACGGAGGTCAGAACCTAACTTATTCCAGATAGTTACAAGTCTGGGAATGTAGGAGTGACTGAACGCTGACGTCTTAGATCTGACAGGTGTAAGCATGTACGACCTAAGACTCCTCGTGGGTCTGGTGGGAAGTGTGATATATTTCTCTATGATTGCTCTTGATTCGACAAATAACATTATATCGCATACCTCACGCCTACATGTAAGTGGCAACAGCCCTGTTGTTGCTAGCCTTTCCTTGTAGGTAAGGTGACTAGCCTGAGGGCCCAGAATGAATATGGTTGCCCGGCGTTGAACCCCTTCAATTAGAGACATAAATTTACGAGAATGTGGCGACCACAATGGGGAGCAATAGTCAAGAATGCTTCTGACCAGTGTGGTGTATAGAGCTTTCTTAACGTCAGTGTTAGCATTGAAACCAACAGTCCGTTTGATAAAGCCAATCATGGAATTCGTCTTGGCAACCATTTTCACTATGTGGCTGTCCCACTGTAAGTCTGGCTGTACAATAACCCCTAAATCATTCATGCTGTCAACAGACGATACAATGGAATCAAAAACACAATATGTATACAGGATTGGCCTCTTAGAACGGGTCAAACGTAACAGCTTGCATTTGGAAGGGTGAAACGACATCTTCCATTTTAAACTCCAATTGCACATGGCTGTGACATCATCCTGCAACTTGGAACAATCATTCATGTTACCAATTTCCCGAAAGCATTTGGAGTCATCTGGAAAAAGAGCAACGGAGGAGTATTCAACTGTACAGGGCAAGTCGTTTATGTATAAAAGAAAAAGAAAAGGCCCCAGAATGAAACCCTGGGGAACACCAGATGTTACTGGAAGCCAATGAGAATGGCAACCTTCAACCACCACCCTCTGACGACGGTTAGTGAGATGTGAACTGAACCAAGCTAAGAGATTCCCCCCAAAGCCAAATGATTGTAGCTTATGAATCAGCAGAGTATGGGAGACGGAATCAAAAGCCTTAGCAAAGTCAAGAAATAGCATATCTATTTGCCCCCCTCTGTCTAGTATGGCCCCTACATTATGGTAAGTTTCTAGGAGTTGGGTGGTGGTGGAACGGCCAGGAATAAATCCATGTTGAAAATCGTGGATGGACTCGCGTACTAGAGGAAAAACAGTGTCATACAAGCAACGTTCCATTACTTTGCTAACCAAAGACAACAAGGATATGGGTCTATAGTTAGCAACATTCCCCTTGTCACCCTTCTTATGTACAGGTGAAACATTGGCAGTCTTCCATTCATTAGGAACCTGACCAAGCGAAATCGACTTATTGAATAAAATAGATGCTTTTTAGATGCTTTTTAGAAATGGTCACCAAATTTGATGGTCCTAGCTCAAGCCGTTCAGGTGATATTAGAGATTAAAGTTGGCGCGGGCCTCAAAAAACCACTCGGTCTGAATAGGGTTCGAAAATCGGGTATTTCTTCTTTTTGTCTTCACAAAAAAAAATAGGAAAAGGTCAAATGTATTATTTTTGTACGTTGACTCAGAGGTCCACATATCAATTTGCAAAAACAATTGAGCTGGTAGCATGTTGCTGATTTCTAAAAAAATAGCCAATAACTGCTTTGGGGTCCGCGCGGACCCCAGGTGTACAGATTAATCAGTCCGGGAAGGTGTACTGTTGAGGGTTAATGATAGAATTTATATATGATAATATAAGATGTTATTGTCTTTGTCAGAAGGACTATGAAATTGTCTCGCCGCATTGTGGGAACTGCGGATATAACTCTGGCAGGCATGATTCGACGTCCATGATTTTTGGCAGGCATATTACCGTTGTTGAGGCCGAAGTCAAGTACACGTTTCGGCTTCGTTGGCGGTCTGTGCAGCACGTTAGTGCACCTTTTATGTCTGTAGCTTGTGAGCAAAATAACTCAAGTATTTGTAAAATATTGCTTATAATTTTTGGTAGACAGATTACTATTGTTGGGACCAAGATTAAGTTTGTTAATGGGCTTTGTGGTGGGTTTCGTTGTCACTGTAGTGGACCTTTTGTGTTTAGAACTTCCCCCACCACCTCTGCTTGGAGACAGCCGACAGCTGGACATAGCCGGGAACCCCATAATGGGATGGGATCAAATGACGTTCATCATACATTGAGGGATTGTACTATAATCAGCAGGGGTAGGATAGGTTGGACATGTGACAGGTTATTTTCTAAGGCTACACCAAGTAATTGCTATGGATGACGTCCAATGGAGACATTAAATTTAATGTGAAAGCGCAATAAAAATATGAAGGGCTGAAAAGGAGATGGATTTTGGAATGTACTAACTGTAGAAGAATTTCTTGTAAGTTTTTTTTTTTTTTACAGTAACAGTCCCAATAAGTAGGGTGTAGGGTTTGGGGTCTAACACGGGTGACGGCGCGTCTTTAAAATCTGTGGCGAACCCTTTCAAAGTGTTCTGTAGCATAAAAACAGATATTCTTTTGTACTTTAGACCAAATTGATTACTAAAAAGAGTAAAGAATACACATGTTCATTTCTCTAGAACAATGTACCTCTGACGAAGACATGAGATCTCCGACCTCTAGTTAATGTTTAAAAGGAAGTAAAATTAAACATAAAACCTAGAAAACGTTAATGTTTAATCCAAAATTACTGATTTTCCAAATTCTGCCTCTCAGAAACCCGTTGCCATGGCAACACTGGAAATCATGAACTTCCTTAATGATTTCATATTGTTCCTAGAAATAGCTTAAGAAAAGTCACCAAATTTGACGGCTCTTGCCAGAGCCATTAAGGTGCTATACGAGATGAAAGTGAGCGTTAGCCTCAAAAGCCCCCACCCCCGTCTGAATTGGGTTAAACCCATTGTCAACAGCATGAAATGAGGTTCACATGTGATATTAAGGCTAAACAATGGAAAGTCATGCCTTTGAGTGCCAGAGTCATCAACCAAGGACTGAGGTGTTTAAAAACTCATTTTTTTCCTAGAACTATTATTTAATAGCAGACTGCAGCTAGGACTCGATGTCATCAATTTATGTGATTATCAAGTAGGCATCTTTAAATAACTTTAAACAATGTTTAGAGTTAGACTGCGAATCTGATTACGCCGACGGGTGGTTATACTTGCTACACAGATACAGATACAAAATAGATCACTACCTTTTAAACAATACACTTTTTTTTTCAGTTAGGACCATTTAAACTGCTTCCCGAAGGTACTGACAATAGATCATACCCGATAGTTCCATTCCCGGCATTTATTAAAGCGGTTGGAACGAACAGGACGGAGTGGCAAGATCCTCACTGGCAGCTGATTTCAGACCTATGTGCTCCTTGCCAAGTAAGTAATACTTAATTTATTATGTCCATCATAATAATAAGAGAGAGGGGGTGGATGTGGTTTGTGTTAAAACAAGTGACACTATTCTTACTAAATTCTCCCAAAATGTAAAATTATTTAGTGCTTTGAAATTTAAATTGCCCCGCTATGTCTTAGATACAATTTACAAATCTTTTATAAGATCATTGTTTGAGTATGCTGACATTGTCTGGCACGGGTGCACAGCTGAGGAATCCAACCTAGTTGAGCGCATTCAAAATCATTGCTCCCTCGTTGTGTCCGGTGTCGTCAAATAGTCATCATTCTCTTCAATTCGCCAAGAACTTGGCTGGAAAACCTTGTCCGACAGACGACATATACATCGTCTGCTGTTATTTCATAATATTATTAATGGTTTTGCACGCGAATATCTTATTTCGTTAGTCCCGTCTACAATTATCATGTCTTGTGTCTATGCTCTGAGAAATAGCACAGATTTGAGAACTATAAACTGTAAAACAATTCGTTTTGGTAAGTCCTTTCTCCCTTATTCCATCTCTGGATGTAATAACCTAAATTGTAATATTCGTACACTTAATTATTCTAAATTTCGGACTCACCTATTTCGATCTCTACGCCCCACCAGATATAATCATTTCAGTTTTGGTTCTCGTATCTCCTGTGTTCCTCTTACTCGGCTTCGTATTGGCACCTGCAGCCTAAATTATAATCTTTTCACAAGGGGTCTTAATGCTAGCCCTGCTTGTAGCTGCGGGTGTCAATACGACAAATTTGCTCAATACCTATTACACTGCCCTTTTCATAGCTTTCACCGTTCAGAACTCCTCGGCAAACTTTCTGGGATCTTAGGACACTCTGTTAACTTACACACTCTTTCAGATAGAGCGAAACTACCTTTAATTTTGAACGGTTTCCCGGTTTATTTTCGAGTTAACTGTAACATTATGTCAACCGTCCAAAATAACATTTTACTAAGCAACAAAACGTTTTAATTCTATTTGTGTCCTTTTCATCTCTTGGGTGAGAAATGTGGACTCTCGCTTCATCAATTCGACTGTGTTTTTCTTTCACATGTATTCTGCGTTAGTGTTTTGCATTGTTTAGTAATATTAGTTTTTTTTCGTATAAGTGGCGGCGCTAACATAAGTTACCCAACTTGAGCCCGTCGTCACAGTGTCCTGTACCCTAATTTTGTTTACTGTATGCTGAAGAAAAAAAAAATTAAAAAAATAAAACAAGTGCTTTTATAAAAAAAGCTGTCGTTTGCCGCCGTTGTGTTTTTGCACAACAAAATAAAATGTGTTTTTTGTTCTTTAAATAAAGTGATGATAAGGCCTTTGACTGACATCTAGCTATGCTATACTATATACACATGTACATCGGGACTGTCACTATTGGCATGTAGATAGTTTAGGAAAGGATAACCAGAATTGATGCTCATTAGCAGCTAGTTCGCACCATTTTTCAGTGAGAAAATTAGATTCTTAACTATCTAATCTGAAATATTATCTAATCTGTTTTAAGGAGGAATTGATTTCAATTGTCAATGTTTTTATATTGACAGTTTGTTAATGGCCATGCTACATGTAATATATTACCCATACACGGTGGTCAAATCTGGGCTGCAAAGTAACCACTTCACACGTAGAATCCGAACTGTGTTCGATGGTGTTCGATCTGGGCAATTCAAATTGAACCCGCGTTCCATTTCGGGGTCACCTGCAGTCATTTACAATGAAGCGGTAAAAGAAGCCCTTCTGCCTGAGTGCCTCGCAACAGAAAAAAAAAAAACACTTTTCTATAGATACAAAGAGTTACCTGGACATTACATGTCCGCTACTTTTTTTTGGTGGACATGTAACATGTAGCGAAGCTACTGTCGTATTCTTTGGTGACCTTGAATACTGTAATGATTCTTTACACCTGGAATAACACAATGCACACTTTCGGGCGATATGACATGCCTGCAAAAGTCGTTCAAACCTGGAAGCATGGAGAGTCAAACATACCCCATTAACGGCTCAAAATGACTGTAACGATTGTCCCGAAACTCGTGTTTTAGGGATTTTTAAAAAATGGCCTGAATTTTGAATTATGGGTAATTTAGTGAGAAAAATGTGTCGACAAAATCTAGACTTAAAATCAGAAATTAAAAAGAAATTCCTAAAACACGATTTTTGATCTTATTCCTAGTCGTCGAAAAATATAAAAATTGGGGATCTGGGGTAATACACGTAGCCAGGTTTGAACGATGTTTGCCTGAAAACATAACATGACTTGTGCTCGGAAACACGAAAATAATCGTCTTTCTGAGCGAAATTTTAACAAATCAGTTATCTATCATAAAAAGCTAACATTAAAAGGATATTAAGACGATAATTTCATTTTAATTTGACGTATTTTACCACTAAATACTATTTGTTTATTTTCAAATATTTAATGGATAGTTTGAAACAGGCCAAAATAGCATCTTGTAACCCGATACATTTTCGAACCCCCCTGGCAATGGGACAGAATGCCGGAGTGACAGACCGCCGTGATACAGCAAGTATGTTAATCCCCAAGAATGCAATATTAGGCAACACTTGCCATATAAGAACAATAAGTAATAACGACTAGTTTTTTAATGTTAAAATAAAAAGTAAAAACAACTAGTTTTTTAATGTTAAAAAGCAAAACAGTGGATGTTAACAAGAAAATTTGAAAAACTCATACGTCGGAACTTGAATTAGTGTCTGAGTGTTAAAAGCAAAACAGCGACTGTTAAAGAAAATTCCACGACGGGTATTGAATTCGCTATGTGCAGACACCGCCACTGCCATTCAGCCTCGCTGCCGTTCGAGCTGGATTGCGCAATACCTGGCTATGCAACAAAGAATTCATAGCGGTCCGAGCAGGACAAACGAAGAAATGATTCAAGCATGAGAGCCCTAATTTAAAAATTTAGGCTTAGGCCGAGCAAACGTAAAAAAAAGTCATAGTTGGTGCACTACCGATGAGATTGGGGTTCTGATGCAAATGCTATTTAGAGTTTAAAAAGAGTTTTGGTTGTTCGATATTTAGAAAAAAATTCAAATGGTTAACATCAGTGCAGACTGACAGCGACAGGTACATAATCAGGGAGTACTTATTATTGACCCAAATATAGCGATTGAACCATCTCCTTCAAGAAGGACAAATGTCATTGTTGGTACGTTTAATTGGTGCCGCCATTCGTTGTCAAATGTGGAGATTGTTTTCTCACAATCATAATTAGTAACTGGGATTTTGATACCTGAGGTTAATTCTGATAAAATCCCATTTTCATATATATCTATATCTATATCTATCTATCTATATCTATCTATCTATCTATCTATCTATCTATCTATCTATCTATCTATCTATCTATCTATCTATCTATCTATCTATCTATCTCATGTCTGTCTCTCATATATATATATATATATACA